TAGCATATTCAAACAAATATTAATAAACAAATATTAGTTTTTTTATGTAGCCCACTCAAACAAATATTAAAGAAGATAAATTAATCACAATATTAAATTTTAGAGACATAAGTGAACAAAAATCAAAATTAAAGAATAAATTTTAGTAAGAAAATAAACTAAAAATGAATAATTATGATATTTAATCACGTGCAATGCACGTGCATAAAAACTAGTTAAACAAAAACTACAACAATAAATGTCCCATGGTCATGGGCCCATTTTTTGAAATACAAGACTGTTAATCCGTGTTGCTAATATTTTTGGAATACTTAAATTTTTCATCAAATGATAAAAGTGTAGTCAAAATTCTGTCCTTCCCAAAATATTTCTAATATGTATAAGAAGTTCAGCTCCCTAACATGTTAAATTAAGTAACAATGGGTTGAAGTTACCATTATGCTTGTTCGTTTAATTAACGATGTGATTATATATTTTTTCTCAAAGTCATAAAAGTTGTTGGGGAAATTCTATTTTTTTAATTATTATTTATGTTGTGACACCGTTTTTAAAAAATCTTGGATCTACCACTGACATAAATGCACATAAATTAATTGGATGAGATAATTAGTAATAGAATCCACTATTTTCTCACATAAAGATCAATTTTTTATAGTACAAAGATCTTAATTTCATTTTTTGAAGAATATGTTAATTCGTTGATAGACTTTATATTCAAAAAAATAATTTATTTAACAAACTTTTTATACCCCTTGATTCATTAAGTCTCGGGTATTTTTATCTTGTCTGCTTTTGGTTATTCTTATAGAGCACTGTTTGTAAGAATGGAAAACGAATAATATGATCTAGAGTATTGACAGTTACACTATTTCTCCACCATAAGAGAGAAAAATGTGAGGTCCATTCATTTTAACAAATTTTGAAGTTGATGGGCTTATCAATGGAGCTCACGCCTCTCTTTCTTGTAGTGTACAAGAAGTATATGAGTATATAATGTAGTTATCATTGTTTGTAAAATTTAATATAACATTAATAAATTCATCCTTAACATATATAAGGAGGCGTGTTGAAGGGAAAAATAAGTTTTTTTTTTTAATACATGGAATGAAGTTATTGGAGAATGAAGAAAATGTTTTTATTCGGATATGGGATGGAGTTGTTGAATTTCCTAGAGGAAAAATTAGTCTTTTTAACAATAAGTGAACCTTCTTGAAAGGATAAAAAACAGGTTGAAAAATCCAATTTATTTTATCCATACTTAAAACGGAGAAAAATAAGTAGAACAAGAAAATCTAGCCAACATGTGACTTAACCCTCATACAAAAACAAACTTATAACTTGCCTTCCATGTGGGACGTAATGCTGCGCATTGGACGTGGCTTACTTGGTTTTAACAAATTATTAATAAATAATATATTATACATTATTGATTTTTAAATATGTATTTATGATATAATATTTATTTATGTTATATTGGTTCTCAACACGCACGACAGTTATAAAGGCCACTAAAGTAAAAAGTAACATTAAATGTCTAGTATCTTATTTGAATAGCAAAGTTGTTATCAGATGCAAAATCACAAAAGGTATAATAGAAAAAATGGAATCATAACTGATATAAAGATATCGTTTGTAGCTCAATTCATAGGAATTATATAGGTCAAATTTTTAATCCAAATTAAAGAATCTCAATCAAGAGAAAAAATAATCTGGATTTTATATAAGAAATTTAAAATTTTATGCAATTCAATCAAATATATCATATATATGTTTGTGTATTCTAATTTGCTCACAGAAATAGAAGATAGGTAGCCAATATGTTGAATTAGTTAATCTTTGCAGCATAAAGTTGATAGGACCTTAGAACTTATTAGCGATTAATTAAAAAGAAGACAAATAAAATTTTATGATTCAACATAATTATTAACGAAAAAACATAAAAGATGCTTAATATAGATAAGAAAATCAAAATGACAAGAAACATTGAAAACGCTGGATAAGTTGATAGCAGCTCTAATAAAGTGCATATTCACATATGAACTAAGTAACTAGATAAGAATTAAACCAGACTACATCTAGTGAACAAAAAAGCAGAACTTATGACTTATATTTCAAAAGAAAAGCACAATTTATGATAAATAGCACAAAAAGCTCTTTACAACATTGTGCGAGGGGGAAAATATTTAAATAGCTTTGCATAAACTCCAAATTAACAAAATACATTCTTTCTAAGTATTAAGAAGATCGATTAGAATCTTATCCAATCCACGGTAAAGAAAAGCGTACTCATTGAAAACAATCGTTGGATCCTAAATCAGATTTATACGTACTTTTTAAATATCAAGACTTCCAAATAATAACATTCCTATAGTTTATTATTCTTTTTTCCAAGGATTTAAGAGACAAAATACAAATCAAGAGCTACAAATTGAACATGAGACATAGTCTTCAACTCTATAAAAAAAAATCTTTAAGTCTATGTTATGGTGCTTTCAGTAGCCAAAGTACGGTCATTTGTCAGCAATGGACAAGTGTCCCCCTACATGCACCGCTCAAGTCAGATTGACGGTCAAAACCACCAAGAATCCCGACTTAGCCGACTTGCCGAGTCGACATCTCCTTAGGTAGACTTGAAGGGCGGTACTTGTCGGTCCTCTTGTCGAAGACGACTCACTACGAGCCTACTCGACCAGTTATTCGACACCTCGCGAGGTCGACTCGAAAGGTGTTGCTTCTCGGCCAAGATAAAGGACGACTTCGGCCTCGAACCTCTCTCGTTAACAGCACGTTGGCGTCATATTTAATGCTTGGCATGTGCATCATACCTTTAGCCTCGATAGTCTTCATGACTCATCGGACCATGTCAGCACCGTCATGCCTCCGATCACTTCTCATTTAATGCTGAAGTGATCTCTCGTCCACTCGTCAATCGACACATGTAAAGTAGGTGCTGACGCAACCACCAACCCATGCTTATTCACTGCCATCCCGTGCTCAACCGAAGTGACGGTTCTACCCTTTCAACACCACTACAAATGGAGGTACTATTCTCAACATAAGGGAGATCTTTTTCTAAGGATTCTTTTCCTAGCAATATCTGCAAATTATACTACACTACACTGGAGAACTTACATAGTTCTTTATTTCCACACTCAAGTTCACCAGCTGACTTGATTGTCGGAGGTACAACGGGGGAACTAAGCCCCGTCCTCTCACGAGTTGCTATTTGTGTAGGGTGGATGCTACTAAACTTAAGATAGCTATTCGAAGAAGTGAGTGGCCCCTTAATCAATCTCACCCCATCACATATTTGACTGTTTGATTACTTAACAACAACAATCTACAAATTATTTGACAAAATATTATTCAATGCATGCACGTGCACATACATATACAAGCACGTATACTATAAACTATTTGACAATTTATATAATATATTTCATAAATCATTGTGTTGGTATAGGAATTTGGCTTAGTAAATGATGTGGTGGTTTGAAGAGAATGGATGACCGTAGTTTATAATATAGAGATGACGATGAGGTTACGTAAAGAAAAAATAAAAGAATGGTTAGTTAATTGGATCAATAACAAATGTATTTAATTAAATAAGTTATGGAATCTTTAGGAGTCTTGGAAACTAATTAAATATTATTATTATTATTTGTAATTAATTTAAGACTCATTGAATGAGACTTTGAGATAAATTTAATAAAGAAAATTATTTAAGTAAAGTTAGAATTATTAAATTTAAGAGGGGTAAAAAGAGCAATCAAAAGTTTCAGTACCCCAATTCTCTTTTATATATAGTATAGATATAAATATAGATATAAATGTGCATTATTTCCTACTTGTATTTGTATGAGCTCTATTTTTGCGAGTCGTTAATGAAACAAGGGTAAGGCCTTTCCAAATGAATTAAAAAAAACATCATAAGTTAACATGTGAATTTTGTCAAACATGCTTTAATATCCCATCTTATACTTGTATCTCTTGTAGTGTACAAGTAGTATAGAATTTATAGTGTAGTTGTAACCACTCAAATTTTACACCCTTGAACAGGAGCGTAGCCAGGGTACTCTTGCCCTGGGCAGCTGCCCAGGGCAAGAAAGTGATCGGCCCTCTACGCCCTAGCTCCTACTTCTCCGCCGGTTGGCCGGCCCTCTACGCCTTCGTCCTCTACGGCGGCGTCTTCGGCCTCCCCTCCGTGGGCGCCGCCCTCTCCGTCGCTGTTCCGGCCACGGTGGTGATCTGGATCACCGTACTCATGTTGCTCGCCTTCGCGTGGAAACCAAGGAGGACACTGGTGATGAAGGCAGTCTCGCAGTGGCGTAGCCCAGCGATTTTTTGCCCAGGGCAAAAAAAATTCCTGGCTTCGCCAATGCCCTTGAACTTTAAAGAAAAACAATAATAACCTTATAATATTTTCTCAAATAATGATTTGCCAAAATAATGATCAAAAGAGGGTATCTCGGCCAAAAAATTTATGAAAACCATCTCAAAGTGTCATTTCTATAATTTAATGGTTTTTATAGGTTTCCTAAAACTCGGTGTAGGTCACCAAATTTTTATAGCGATATGTTTTTATAAAATAGAAAAAAGAATATATTTTGTAGAAACCCATTTGTGAGGAGATCGGGTAGATATCCGATAAAACACACTTTATCCTATTAAAAATTTTCCATCTTCTCTAATTTACACAAACATTTTCTTCTTCGAGAACCATAATTTGTTTTCTTTTTTCGGTTTTCTATTCTGCACTTCGAACTAAACTAGAAAAAAATACAAAAGATAAAAAAAACCCACTTTTGACACTACCAAAAAAAAACAAATAAAAATTTGTAGAAACGCTTGGAAAATTATTTATTACCCACTTTAACTTTCCCCCTTTTGGGCCTTAGTTCACAAATGAATCCCAAGCAAGTATGGGCCTAGTTCATCGGCCTTACCCACTAGCTTGGCCCATGACTTCCACGCATCGTGAACGAACGGCCGAGATGCCCTCTTCTGATCTCGTCATATATAAAGTTCATCTCGTACGCAACTCTCACCGCCGCAGCTCCCCCCTCGAAAAACCCTAGCTTCTGCAAATCTCGCCGCCATGGCGAGTGACCAAAACCCTAGCTTCTCTCCTCGTTCATATGATTCGATGTAGATCTGATGGTTTTCTGTAACTTTTCTTTGCAGACTTTTAAGCGCAGGAATGGAGGGAGGAACAAGCACGGACGTGGACACGTCAACTTCATTCGATGCTCAAACTGCGGGAAATGCTGCCCCAAGGTGAAATAGATGAGATCAAGGCCTAGATTATGATGTGATGGATATTTAAATTTTTGGTGGAGAACTTTGATTTTATAGTTAAAACCCTAGATTTTACCATCAATGTTGATTTCTAATAGGTAGGTTTCACCAAAAAGATCTAGCTTTTCTTCTGTTGAATCTGGATATTCCAGTGAAATTGCGTTTTTATATGAATTAGCAGTTTGAATTTGAGTTCTTTTATGCTTAAAGCACTGAGAGGTTAAGACCCTGCGGTAACATTTGAGACTGCTGAACTTTGGATATATTATAATTTTCTATGGTTTAAATCTCCCATTTAAGAAATCATACAATGTTCTTTATAACGTTGTGGTGCTTTCGACTAGCAATGCTGAATTGTTGTTCTTTATGCTTTCGATTGATGTTCTAGGACAAGGCTATCAAGAGGTTCCTTGTGAGGAACATTGTGGAGCAGGCTGCTGTGAGGGATGTGCAGGAGGCCTGTGTCTATGATGGTAATTTCAATTTCCCATTTTTGTTTTTGATTCCATGCTTAGTACATTTCATCTAGAATTTCTTAACGGATGCTAATTGTATTCTCTAGGATACACTCTTCCCAAGCTGTATGCTAAGATGCAATACTGCGTCTCTTGTGCCATCCACTCCCATGTGGTGAGGGTGAGGTCCCGCACTAACAGGAGAAACCGTGAGCCTCCTCAGCGCTTCAGACGCAGGGTATTTCTCTTTGACTCGTCTGTCCTTAAGAGTTTTATTCCCCATTGTGTTTTCTTAATACTGATGACGGGGGTTTTCTTTACGTTAGTTGTTCTTGAGAATAGCGAACAATGTTCTTTGTTAACTAGACATATTGCAATTGTTAGGCTATAATGTTGTTTTATATTCGTGTTCCCTTCTGTCGTGCAAAATTTCTGAAAACTCTTCCTACATGCAGTTTTCTCTCTACACTTTCCCATACCTGTTTGCTACTAATTTTAAATATACTGAATATATAGTCAATAATATGGTAAATTGAACCTATCTTTTGTTTTTTACGATGGTATTAATTTTCATTGCCACTGTGCATGTAAACTTGTACAACTAAGACGGAAGATATCTCTGGTTTGTTTATTATAGATTTCAATCTTATATATGGATTCTTATCTATAGGTCAAGTTTTTTTTAATATACATCCCTCATACTGTTAATTAAAAGCAACGTTGTATAGATTCTTGTTGTCATGTATCTTTGAGGTCGCATATTGGTTAATCCTCTCTAGGGGCCTAGCTTTTTACCATTCTTTTTACACATCTTCAGTATAAAAAATGGAATCTGAAGACCTCATGTAACTTGCATTTGGAGGATGACCATTAACTATTAGCAAATCATTTTCAGGGAAATCCAAGCTATTCATTCAAACCTCCATACCCAAAACATAAATATACACAAATCATCCAATTAAGAGACGGTTTTTTAAGAATATATCTGACCACTTGAGAAGGTTTACAAAATCTAAATTTCATGGCTTATAAATTCCATTTAAGGAGAGGGAGATCAAGATGGACAACTTGGATTGTCTACAAACTGATCCATGTTGTAGACCTTAAGTGGTTTCTACACCTTTTTTATGTTATAAACATGCCCAATATGTTAATGTCCTCTCCCTTTTCCTTATAGTCAACAACTACTGTGGTGCCAACACAATTTCGTGGCTAGATTCGTGTAACTGTGTAAGTTTGCACTTGATTATAGACAACTTTCAAGAATTTGATCATGGACAATTTAGTTCATTGTCAATAATCTGTCCGAGAGGTGTAATCAATGGAGGCCATCTCATTCTTAATATGCACGAAGCTGCTATTTGCTATTTATTGCTAGTTCAATGGTTCAAGGTTATGCCTTGAAAGGCGATTTCAAATCCAATCTTTCAGGGCGTTATCTTGTGCCCTTAAAGTTAACCACTGCTTAAGCTTATAGTCTTGAAATTCTCCCTAAGGAATTCCCTGGCTACTTGACCATGTTACTATGACCAGATCCCCGATGCAAGCAGTGGTGGAGCCACATGAGGGCCAAAAGGGCCTTAGACTCCCCTTGAAAAAGTAAAATTACAAGAGTGGTGGTAAAGGGTTTATGAGTGAAGTCCTATGGCCTAGCCTAAAAGATGTAAATATGTAAGATCTAGGAATAGTCTAAAAGTGTAAATATGTAAGATCTTAGGACCTAACCTAAAAAGAAATAAAAAAAACTAGAAGTTTAGTCCCATGATGTCAACATGTCTGTAGAAAAAAAGACAATCTTTTAAGTTTTGATGCAAATAATCCTTATTAGAACTTGTAGGTAATATTATGGCTCTTTTTTCCCTTCATAGTTTTAACTTAATATTATATTTAATATTATAACTTAATGAAAGCTTGGTAATTTGTTTGGAGTTATATGCATTTGTGGATGTTTGATGAACACTATATTCTAATGTGAAATTTGATTTTTGAAAGTCTAGCTATTTAATGACGTTTACATACTAATTAATCATGAAAAAAGTACTATCATGTTTAATTATATATATTTTTGGACCCCCCTCCCCAAATGAAATTCCTGGCTTCACTACTATATACAAGGATGTACATGTTTTACTTTTCATTCTCTTAAACTATGTTGCGTGGGTACCTCTATCTGGAGCTGTGCCCATGTCGTACCTGTACCCAACTCCAAAATTTAAGTGAACACTCAGCTGGATATTTGTATGCATTTATTCAAACACGTACTTGGTTATATAATACATGTTTTAATTTGAAACTTGTCATAAACTTATACTTGACACTTCACATGCAATTCGTAAAACTCGTTGGACATAAATTGAGTCTGTTTCAGTCTGTACCCAATTAAAAACTATGATTATAAAGGTCTTTTCGATATCAAGTTAAAAAAAACAAGCAATATTCTAATTTATAGATCTATATTAATAAAAGAAACATATAAATGTTATATGAGTGTTTATTTCATAGTACATGAATAAAACAAATATTGATCTAATTTAAATTATTATTATATGTACATGTATGTGTAGCGATGTCCCTGTACTCTACCTTTTATAAATTTGCCTTGTCCCGATCCTCTACCTATACCCATAACCATACCGGTGTAACTATTCATGTACTCCCTTCTTCATTAGATCATTTGTTTTGATCCGTGTTTGGGCCTGGATGCTTAAGTTGTCTCAGACTCTTGTGGTTAGTGTTTAAGATTCAGGCTCTAATGGCTAGTGATTAAAATGTATCATTTTCTGCTTCTTTCTTTTCTCCTTTCTATTATATCTAAAGTTTATGACACCTCTATCCCTTATGTGGGTGCTGTCATTGTGTTGGCCATAATGTTGTGAAACATCATTGCCAACTAGTCAACAGTTTATCTGTTTAACTTGTTAATCGTTTCAATCAATTTGTAGCTTCCTTCAAACTTTTGTGCTGTGAGATTAATGCATTCACATCCTTTTCCGTTTCACCAATGAAATTGTTTATCTAGCATGAGATTCGTATTTGTGTTCCTTGGACATCTGACGTGGGTGGCTAGTGTCTTCATATTAAGAATTAGTAAATTGGAGTTTTCAGAACAAATATTATGGTCATGTGTTTAAACATGCCCGTGAAAAAAATGTCTGTGTTTGTGTTATACGATGCTAATTCCTTTGGAGGTTAGCGATTTGTTTTAATTTCAAGATGTTTGGACAGTAGATGTCGTGCAGTGTGCTCTCAGAATTTAACATATTAACAATTTTACCACTATGTTAGCATGGTGCTGCTGTCAAAATAAACGAGTCACGAGATCTGAATGGATGTCTTCCAAAATGGTAGTAACTGCCATGGTTGAGTCATGTGCCTTCTTATATACACCTTCACTAGTCTACTCTTTTCCGCAAGTAGCTCACATATATACACGTGTACGAAGTACTAGTTTATAGGTTTGATTGTAGATACCCATGTACTTCTAATGTTGCACATAGGCCCCTCGGAAATTTTCTTATTACCTGAAACGAAATAGAGTTTTTTTACAAGTATAAAAAAATCACTCTGGGGTCTACTTGCAACAATAGAACTTCAGATGCTACATTTACAATTGGGCGTTAGGACAAGTTTACCCGCTATTAACCCCAGTTGAAGTGTTAAATAATTTGCTTGGTAACACACATCTGATATAGAAAAATACAGTTCCGATATCTGTTTGTGTCATATCATCCTTTCATCATGTTGATGTGTCATGACTCATGAAGTATATGGCCATCGAACTTATTACAAAAGGCAAAAGTAATTATCAGTATGTCATTTTGTATGTAACGGACTTGACGGCCACGCGATCTACCTCGCGGTCACTAGGTTATAGGGAGAGGTTTAGCTTAGATTCTTGATTGTATGCTCATCGATTTATGAATTTCATATGTTATTAATACTAGGGCTATTAATACTAGGGAACTGTCACTTACAAACTCTAGATTTTTGCTTCATCCCATATCTGCATTCATTAGTTTTTGCAATTTTTTACAATACATTTTTGGACATATTTATCTGCATGGTAACTTTGAGTTTCCACGCTGCATGCTGTCCATTATTGTCGTAAGGCATTGGATGCTTCTTCTCAAGTGGCAGACTATTTGTTGGCTTTAATATCGTAGACTGCCATTAGTCTTGTCATGAAGAAAAACAGCTGTAACGTTTTGCATGTTATGGTACTGATGAATGAATAATTGACTGGTATTCTATTGTTTTGTTCTTGCAGGATGACGCAGCAAAGCCTGGTCAAGCTCCCCGACCCGCTGGAGCTCCTGTCCCAGCTCGCCCATGATGTTTGTTATTGTTACTGGATTCCTAGTACTCAGATAACCCCTTTAGTTTGGAGATAATTTTGCTTGAGACACAGACTGCTGGGTTGCTACAAGAATGTTTTGTTTTTACCCGTTGCCTTAGGTTTTATGTACTTCAGATTTTGCATGTGGTAGCTCTTCACTCTCCATTGAGTTACTTTGTATTCAGTGTATTTGGGATTTCATCAGTATGTCACTATTGCTTTATCATATTTTGTTTTCTGGATAAAATTCTAATTTAGTCAGTATTTACAAATGCTATGCTGGTGTGTATTTCAACGTGCAGTTTGGGATCTTGAGAAATTGGTCCTAAAAACTCATCTATTTGGATAAAGCCCCTCAATGCTATTTAAGTTCTTTGAAACTAAAGTTTCTTAGAAACCCCTACATTACGTTCTTCATTTATTGCTCACAAACTGCGATCTTTTTTCTATGTGATGCTAATAGAGATAACAGTATGAGATCTTGATTTTATTTTCCTCCTCCTTTTCGAAGGCCGTACGTAGATCCTGCACTAATCTAATTTTGTCTATCATTTATGTGCGGGAACATCTTTGTATTAGTGATCCATGTAGCACTTTTTGATATTTCGCACTCAGCTGTCAGACGTTACAACTTAACCCGCCAAATAATTGCAACAATTTCTCTTTTATTAGGGGTTGTTTATTTCACACAGAGACAAAGGAAATGGCATTTCCATGACATTGAAATGTTGCCACACCAAATTTTCATTTGCAGCTATTTACTTCTCAAATTTTGGTTCGTTTTATGTTTTCCAGGAAATTACCAAAACTTTTCCTCGCCATGTCAGATCTTGGGCATTTCCCATTCCCGAGCAATTTGCTCAGAAACGGGACGGAAATGTATTACTTTTGAATAAAAGATCACATTTTAAGTTTTTCCTACATCCTACGAGGCTTTTTTGGTTCATTGCCGTGAGACCTATTCATGGGAGATGATCCGTGTTAAATGGGTTGTGGGTAGGGGTGCATTCGGTCGCGATACGGCTCAGATATGATGCTTATCATATTCATATCCGTTTACTCATCTCGGATACGGATACGGATACGAATATACCTCGGTAAGAAAATTTTATAACCATATCCGCTAAAATCGGATACGGTTACGGATATACATGCGGATATGCATGCAGATACAAAACAGATATGAGAAAACTGGATAGTATTGAGAAAAACATAGTTCATGTGATACAAAAGAGTTTGTTAATATGTCCATTATAATTGAAAAGTTAAGATTAGACATCTTGATCATCAAAATTAACCACAAATCCATAATCTAAGAATCGAAACTATCGTAAGAATATGACTAATATGTATTCGGATATTTCGGATACGGATACGGATATTTCACTACAAAACCATATCCTATCGGTTATAGATTTGAGTAATCATATTCGTATACTAACGAAGACGGTTACGGATATTTTCTCGGATACGGATACGGTTTAGCACTCCTTAGAGGGAAATGATAGCCCATCACGCTATGTTTTTTTTTTTTTATGACCCGAACACGGAAATGATCCATTTATGTGTCTGCTTTTCTTCCGAGTCTACGCGAAACAAACATCAAAAACACATTTCCGGATACACAAGGATATGCACACAGAAACATCATTTCCAGCATCTACTCCCGTTTCTTTGTTTTCCCAAGAGACGAACCAAACCCCAAGAACGGAACGAAACCGTGATCGAATCATCACAACAACCAAACCCAAACATTAGGTGGTGGGGCCCAGGGCTGATAGAAAGCGATGTGACGGGACGCGGGCCACGCACATCGCTTGTATCAGGGGCGCGATCAGGTTCCCTGACTGCGCTCGCTTTGGTTCTCTTTTTTTCACCGAGAAGCGCGCACCGCTAAAATTGAGAAGGGACGAGCCTCCGCTGGCGGCCTCATCCGATTCATTTGCTTGGCTTTTACAGATCACAAGCATTCTAATAAATAGTGCACGCGTCAAGTCAAATCCAGTGGGGGTGCGCACTTGCCTTGTCAAGTGAAATCATTACTTTGTTAGTAGGTTTGGGTAGGAATGGGCTCCCAACAAAACTTCACCTGCATCCCCCACAAGCTTACTTGTTACTGTGACCTGTGAACCCCCCCTGTTTAGGGTCCGTTCGTTTCGGAAAAAAAACTTGGAAATAAAGAATAGGAAACTTATTTCCTATAATAATTGTTTTGAGGTTGTTTGGTTGGGTTAAAAAAAAAGAAATTATAGAATAGGAGATGAGATGAGATGAGTTATCACCTTATTATTGAATGATGTGAGTGATTTTTTAAAAAAACTTGTTTTGAGGTTGTTTGGTTGGTTAAAAAAATAAGGAAATGAATTGGAGGTATATTATTAGATGATGTTTTGAGGTTGTTTGTGTTTGGTTCATTTTTAAAAATAAGGAAATTGATGAGATGAGATGAGTTGGAGGTATATTATTGGATGATGTGACACATACTTAAGGAAATCAATTTTTTTTTTTAGGAAATGGATGGAAATGAAGGTTTAATGAGATGAGATGAGTTGTCACAATATTATTGGATGATGTATGTGATTTTTAAAAATGGGATAAGATAAGATGTGATGAGTTGGATGATGTGACACATTTCTTATGTTTGGTTTATTTTTAAAGGTAAGAAAGGAGATGAAATGAGATGAGTTGGAGGATAAAAATAATATTTTATTGGATGTTGTGGGTGAGTTTTAGGGATGAAAATGGATAAAAATATTATTTTATTGATTTCCTTGCACCGATTTCCTTTTTTTGGTTTTTAGGAAACCAACCAAACAGTCCCTTAGTATTATGTTTTGAAAACTATTATTCAGTTAGTTTAATATTGACGTACAGAAAGGGTCGCCCCGAGATTTAGGTTGCCCTAACCCAATCCAATTTTGATTGTCCTTTATATTAAAAATTTTGTACGATTAATAACGATAAAAATGAATACATATAATATCATTTTAGCGTTCTATATTTGGCTCAAACTGATAATATTCTCTTGCAAAATTAATATTCATATAAGAAAATATTATATTTGTGCTACAATTTAATTCAAAGAAAATTACTTCTCCTTGAATTTTTTGAAGCGAATTCTTGAATTAAGTCATCATGCATATGCACGTGTTTGAAAAAAACTAATGAAATGTGCCCTCTAAGACTCAAACATGGACGGTTTACATAACAGACAAACCCCTCAACCACAATACCAAGCCAGCATCATGTTAAAACTTGGGATTTTATGTTTATAAATTATAACGCTGCATTATATATAAAAATTTTGGTTACCCCCGGCCCTAGGTTGCCCCAGCCCCGGGGCTTGGTGGGCTTTCCCCAAGATCGGGCCTGCATATAGACCCTTTGGATGAATTTCTTTTGATTCTTTGCCTTTAAATAGTCTCAGCGCTAATATCGCCTAGGCTTAAAAAATCACCCATGGTCTACGTGCCAAAATCAAAGAGCAAGGGTAGTAAATTTCAAAGCTCGACGGCAATTAATCCTTCTTTTCGAAACGGGGGTAAATTCACAAAACACGTTTGAAATTTAGATGTGCGGCATGGAAACGCGTTAACATAATTGAAAAGGACGAACTTGTTTTCATTGAGTAGAAATACATATAATGCCCGGAGTTCAGGATACGTAACTGTCAATAGTTAAGGCAAGTCATTACAAATTGGGACCGAACTAATTATAATACTAAAATACTATCACACGCATAGTAATACCATGTATTTTCATCGAACTTTGTTTCTAAATGTTTCAAATATTCTTTAAAATATGGAAAAATTGCTTCAAGACCTCAAATTCATATTTTCAATGTGCCTTAGCCCCTCAACTTTCAAACATGTACTGCAACCCCTTTTTTTTGAAAAAATTATTAAAAATCCCTCTCCCCAAGTTCCCATGCAAACTCCATACACAATTCTCATTTTACCCTCCCCTACACCCCCCTCCTCCTCCTCCGTTCCCCCTCTGCCCCCGCCCCCGCTGCACCTCCCTCCTCCTCTTTCGGTCCCCCTTTGCCCCCTTCCCCGCTCCGTCGCCAGCGTCGTCCTGAGGAACTTCGCATGGGCACATTAATATTAACTCTTTTTTATAACATGTTAATTTTTTTCTGTAACATGTTAACTTTTTTATGTAAAATGTTAATTTTTTTCTGTAACATGTTAACTCTTACAACTAACATGTTACCTGTAAGAGTTAACATATTAGCTATTTGAGTTAACATGTTAGCTGTAAGAGTTAACATGTTAGCTGTAAGAATTAACATGTTACAGAAAAAAATTAACATTTTATAGAAAAGAGTTAACATGTTACAGAAAAGAGTTAACATGTTACAGAAAAAAGTTAACATGTTACAGAAAAAAGTTAACATCCACTGACATGAGAAAGAGGAGGGTAAATTCGGGATTTAAGTCAGCTGATATGTCTAATCATGAACTGGCATGTCTAATCAACTGATGAAATGAGCTGGAATCATGATGGAGGAGTGATGGGTTTGGACATATTTTTTTCAAAAAGGAGAGGCTAAAGAACATTAAAAAAAATAGGAGGGGCTGGGGCACATTGAAAATATAAATTTGGGGCCTAGAAGTAATTTTTCTTTAAAATATTCCCATTTAAATAAGCACATATATTTTAAGTTACCCAAAGGAATTTTTTGATTTTTCTTTAACAATTCACAAATTAACTATTTACTGCGAATGAAATCTATAAAGCAAAACTTTACACCCGTCTCTTTTTACTATGGGTTTTTCGGATGTTAGCCCCTTACGTCTTCAGAAATTACATATTAGTCCCTCACGTGTTAGATCAGAAATTACATATTAGTCCCTCACGTGTTAGAAATTGTACATTAGACCCACACAAGCCTAAGCATTCCGGCAGAATGGTCTCATACAGATCAATAACCGTATTTCCCCTCTATTATTTTCCCAAACCCATTTGTTAATAGTTTTAAACCCAATACCTACCTTGAAATTATATATAAAAAAAAAAAATCCAAACTCACTTGAGTTTTTCTCCCCATATGATTAGAAAAGAACTATAGCCCAAAGTTGATCTTTTAAAGGTTTGAAATATTAGAGAGAACGATGTAATCCCAGATGTTAGGTTAGGAGTTAACTGAACATTGGTGAGGTTTTTTAATTGGAAAACTAATAGAAAGACAATTATGCAACAACACTCTACAAGATGTAATGGTCTAACATGGAATTCTTAAGATTTGAGAGACTGATATGCAATTGTTAAA